TGGACTTTGGCTTCCATTTTGCTTTCATATGTGTCACCTATACAAAATGCAGCCACTAGGACCAAAGACTGAAGAAAATGAGACAATGGATATGCAGAGTACACATCTCTCCTAAAAGCAGGCATGACACCCCCTTACCATGGATGAATCCCTGAGTCCAACTGTCGTATTCTTATCACTGAGCCAATTTCCATTTTCCAAAAGAATTACAAATACAAAGAGATTGAGTCATTAAAATGTTAAAATGTATTACATGAGAAATAAGCCTTCTCTTGCCATAAAGCCCATTACTGTTGGATACAGTCACTTTAGTGGAAAAGTGTACTTGACTATCAAAAAGCTTGGCACCCTTGAAAGTATGCACCTCTTCTTTTCTTCTAAAGATTTTCACTGACAATTTTTAAGTTGGGAGAAAAAGAAGAGGAAGCTGGGTGGATTGGAAGGAAAGCAAAGTGGGGTCAAAGAAAGCAGAGGAGGAGGAGGAAAGGAAAACATATCTGAATTCCACTAAACTGCATGCCTTCTGAGTTATCTTTCTTTAGTTTTGTAATAACCATAGCTTACATTTATTGAGCATGTATGAAAAGTTCTTTAAGTTTATTGACTCATTTAATCCTCACAACAACCCCATGTATTAGGCACTATAATTATCTCCTGTTACATATGAGGCAACTGAAGCACAGAGAAGTGAAGTAGCGTCCCTGGGGTAACATAAGGATCCTGGTAGAACCAGGATTCCAATCCAGTCTGTTTTCTTTACCATATTCTCCTTTATTGGCCCCGTGCTAGCCAGCACCTGTGCTACTGGTCAGGTCAGCAATGCCAGCTGAAATCCCTTGTCTCTCAACCTCACTAGCTCCTTCCCCCACGCAAGTTTGCTATAGGCATTACCACTGTACATTTATTATTTTATTCATCAAAAATTAAAGCTATTCCTTGGCATCCTGAAACTTCAAGGGTTAAAATTTGGGAGATAAAGTTTTTTTTTTTTTTTTTAGCTTTTCATTTAAAACAAGGAACCTAGGATAACAATAACAAATGCAGCAAAAGGTGTATAGTTATACTTCTGATACCCTGCAAGCTCATCAGTGCTTCGCTACAGGAAGGAAACACAGGAGGTTGTATGGAATATTCTAGGCATGAGGATTGGATAATGACTGACTACTCAGAGCTCAATCTTCCGCTACCTAGTCAGATACGCCCTGTACCATAAAACTCTAACACGCACATACACACAAAATAAAACAAGAAGTCATTATTTACATAGGCCTATTTGTTTTATAAAAGGATTAATCTAGGATCCCTTTAACTATGACAACTTACTATTTGCTTATAGGCTATTTATGAAAAAGAAAAACCACAAGAGAGAAAACCGAACTGTGGGAATCCTATGAGCTGAGCACCTACCGGAAAGGGAGGTAAAGCATCATTCATGCAAGCCAGGGGAAAAACAGAGTCAACCGGTAGCTACTTAATTTTAATCAACATGATTTTCATCTAACTATTCAGGGGCTTCTGCTATTGTATAAATCAAGGCACAGCTCACAGAGTTGGAGAGGTCTTTGAGGAATCCTTTGGACGAGCCTGCTCAGCTGAGGCACGTAGGTAATATAATCCTGGTTTTATGGGCACAACTGAGGCCCATAGGAGTTTATTTACCTGACCAAAGCAGCAAAGTTTAAAAATGACAGGAGGACAGGGAGCTGAAATCCATATGCTAAGTATTACTCTTTCCACACTCTACCAATTCTGCATAAAGGGTGGGTTTGATACTCAAAGCATATTCTCTTATCCACAAAGCACTGTGTTTTGTACCTTCACAGAAAAAGAAGGCAGTTATGTGTATGTGTGTGTATGTGTGTGCGTATGTATGTGTATACATTCTAATTAAAACCTTAAATAGGTTGTATGGGAGCATGTCAATAATGATAATGGCATGCAATGGTAAAAAAAAAAAAAAAAAGCCCAGCTAAATAAAATCTCACATTGTTTATGCTTCTTAAAGAAAAAAAATATATATTAATAAAAATCACTTGCCAAGATATTACTAATCAAGAATAAAGAAGACCATGAAAAGCCACCACACAAAACGGGTAAAGTCAAGCTGCTTAGTAATCATGCAGGATCCTGTGAGGGATGGACACACACATGCTTTACATCAGTGTTTGAACTATGAGTTCTGCTCTCTTGGTTAATATAGATAACTATTTTGTTTTTCCAAGCCTGCAGGAGTATATGGCATCTATCCTGTGAAATTCAGCCTCAACTTTGCATCAGTTGAGGCTTTTGCTCTCTTTGCCTCCTACCCAAACTTACTCCTGACCAAAGTTCTCTGCTAAACAATTCTGGATGCAAGAGTATTAAAAATAGGAATTGGGGATTGTGCAGAGACACACTTATTATTAAACACTCATTGAAAGAAAAGTCGAATGATTTTACTATGAATATAGTGCCATGAGACTTATTATCATTTACCATCGAAGTTATTATTTCTTTATTACTAAGAAGAAGACCAAATAATCACTAAACACTAAAGCACATTAAAGAAAGACATGAGGGTTTTCCGTCAGCTGGACCTGAGTTCTAGTGCTAGCTTTTCTACTGTTGTGTGACATACCACAATCTTCTTTTTTTTTTTTATGACAAAGGACATGTATATACTCTATTTATTTATTTATTTATTTATTTATTTATTTATTTATTTATTTTTTGGGCAGAGTCTCACTCTGTTGCCCCAGCTAGAGTGCCATAGCATCAGCCTAGCTCACAGCAACCCCAAACTCCTGGGCTCAAGCAATCCTGCTGCCTCAGCCTCCAGAGTAGCTGGGACTACAGGCATGTGCCACTATGCCCGGCTAATTTTTTCTCTATATTTTTAATTGGCCAATTAATTTCTTTCTATTTTTAGTAGAGATGGGGTCTTGCTCTTGCTCAGGGTGGTCTCAAACTCCTGATCTCAAGTGATCCTCCCGCCTCGGCCTCCCAGAGTGCTAGGATTACAGGCGAGAGCCACCGCGCCCGGCTGACATGTATATACTTTAACATATTATGACAGAAGCATGCAAAGAAAAAGCAATATATAAAAGCACCTTTATTAGTCTCAAACTTATTTAAAAATCACGTCTACATTACTCAAGAGCAACCCACTGTGCAACCCACTTCAGTGCCAGCAGCCTACTGGCACAGGCCAGGCAATGGTTCGGGGCCAGTTTGCTCTAGCATGGGACCCACAATCTTCTTGAACTCTCTTAAACTTCAGTTCCTCGTGGGAAAAACAGGACTACTACTGGACCTCAAAGAGCCTTGGAGAGATGCAAGGAGAACATATCAACTAAGTGCCCTTTACATTGTCAATGCTCAGTTCATGTCAGTCCCTTTCACCTGGTGCCTGGAAGCTTCTATAAATCCTTACTGTAAACCATTAGGTGTGTGTGTGTATCATATTATATATATATTATATATATTACACATGTATATATTAAACTATAGGAAATATTTATATACACACATCATTTTGCAAGATTTATAAAATCCAAAATATTGGAGGTAGGGAGAACTACTGGTACCTTCTTTTGCAAGAGGTAGAATGTAAGTCAATGACAGAAGAAAGGAGGGACAAAGAAGCAAAATATCGGTGATCTTTTCCAGGTAGATTTCTGAAATCTGGAAAAAGCCCATGAATAGATGCCATGGTCTTTATAAAGCTCTGCTCTAAATGTAACTTGTGTGCAAATAGTGTCCAAACATCTTGAGGCTATCCTAATGATTCCTAGCATAGCTGTGGTTTCTGAACATCTCAGCGGAGACCTGCACTGACCTGTGTGAGCTAGCCGGCTCAGACTGGACACTCACCTGTTGTTCCCGGTTAAATATTTTGCTGCTTGTCAGCACTTCCACTAGAGGGCAGCAGGTGGAAAGGAGAGGATGTCAAAATGGATTACTACTGATGGTTGGCCGTAGCAGTTGTCAAGGTGGAGTGCAAAGTAATGGGGGTACAAGAGGCAAGTTGGCTGAGTGGAAAAGGTGAGAGTTTAGTAATTACTGAGTTCCATTTCTAAGTGAAGCCAGGGATGGGAGGAAATAAAGAGTTCATCTCTAGGAAGCTGGAGCCAGGTTTCCCAAACCAGCTAATAATCAGACTCATGTTTAGAGTTTTCCTCAAACAAACAAACACACCTAACACACAAACAAATGCCAGGGAATCACTCCGTATCTTCTGCATCATAATCTCCAAGTAGGGGACTTGAGAATCTCTATTTTTTAGGAAAACCTTCCCAGCTTGGTCTAAGGAACAGTCGAGGGACCTATGAGGTCCCTTCCAGCTGAAGACTAACCTCAATGACATATATATGCTTAAAGTGACCTTCAGAATAATGGTAAACTCTCTACTCCTTTACCAACTTGTCTTCAGAGAAAGAAGGGGTAGAGGTAACTGAAATTTCTACAGTGTGGGCTGCAATTTATAGTTTTCAGAATGCTAGGACAGACACATCTTTTCAACCTTTTAATCCTCACAAGTCTGTAATCAGGAAGATTTTAAAACTCCATTAATAGCTGGGGAAGCCAAGTTTCAGCGAGGTTGCCTTATCATGGTGAGTCCAGAAGTCAGGACTTTTGACTGCACTTTATTCCTCTATATCACTATGTGCAATGCCTCTTCAATTCTGTTCTTACCCACTTCAAATAATTTAGTGGAACTCTAAGAATGATGGCCAAGTCCAAGTTATGTGCAGCACAGGAATGGGGACAGGAATAATAAAGAGAAAGCAGTGCTGTCAAGAGCAATAGACCCATCCTGCTCTTGCTTCTGGTGCTCCAGGAAGCAGTGGGAAAATACTCAGTGGTACTTTGTGAGTGAGAAAGAAAGATGAGGATGTATGAGTCAGGGACCACACTTCTGCCACAGGAGAAAGCTGAGTGATTTCATAAGAGTCTTATATCAACCTAATTTATATACCTCAAAATCTTCTTTTTGCTGACGAACACTTTGCAGTGAGGGATGGAGCAGAAATTTCCTATTTTGCAAGGTTTCAAAACAGACTCTCAAATAGATCCCACAACTCAGCCGCTTGCTGTGAAAGGCTAACCTACAGAGGAAAGCACATCAGAGAAGGAGGCTTTGCTCCTTCTCCTGCCAGTAACTGCTTCAAATCTTGGGTAAGTCATACATCCCTCTGGGCTTGGGTGTCCCCATCAATCAACAGAGAGGTTTGGTTCTGATGCTTCTAGCCAGAGGGACCACAAAGACATTTAGTTTAGCTTCGTATTATTTTTTATTAGTCTCTAACATTTAAAAACAAGGAAATTCATATAATATATTCAAGATCAACTTTTAGGTACACTCAGATGAGGAATAAATGGGATAGTTTTTCATGGCCCTTTCCACCTTCTCAAGCATTAGATAATTTAATTATTTATTATTTTTATAAGCTATTGTCTGTATCACCATGTCCCCTCTCCAACCCACGAACACACACATATCCTGCTAATGAACAATCCAGGATAGCATGGATTTTTACCTCTTTTGTTCACTGAGTCATTGGAAGCAACTAGAATAGTACCTGGCACATAGTAGGTGCTTAATAAACATTTGTTGTATGAATTAATTCCTGGTAACTTTACAAAAAGGATCTTTATTTCAGGCAAGGAAAGCTAAAGATGACCAGCTCGACCCAGAGATGAGACATGAATAAGTCCAATGAGTTCCTCATTTACAAAATCATAATACAGATTTCATAGTGAGATGCCAAATAAAGGATATTATTGATACATGTCTATGTCTATATATGCTGAGTTTGTTTTTCATATTATAAATATAATTAAATTGAGATTTTAAAATGTTGGGCAAATTTTCACAAAAATCCTGAATGTACCCATAGATCCATCTATAACTCTGTTTGTTTCACTTGTAATGCTTGAAGAAAAACCCAGCATGGTATGATCATTTTAAAGGCATGTGACAGTTCAGTATGTGGAATGTTCCATATTAATGTCACCTTAATTATGGCAGATTGATTTCTCTGGTGGTAAAAAGCAGGTCTTAAGACTGATGAAATTTAATATCACACCAATTACATTAATTTCAACAACTGGCTTTGCAGTTTTCATACTCTCCTGTACTCCCTTTAATACATGTTCATGGCATGTATTAAAGCAACTCTTCCCAGTTGCTTTACCAGCCTGTAATTCCCGAGGCTGTCAAGGGAGAAATGACAGGAAGCATTTGTTGGAAGCACTCAATGTGACTGTGCATTCATGGGGATTTGTTAACTGATGTTTAAGTTGTTGCATTCCTCATAAACAAGCATGAGTGACAGGCTTTAAGGGTGATCTTCCAAAACAAATGTGACTCATAACCATTAGTGCAGCACATGCTAAAAGCTCACAACTCTTGTTCCGTTCAACCTGTGAGTATATCTGGGACATGGAATAGGTCAAACTGTAGAGGAGATTTAAAGGGGAAAGTGCTGCAGCCTTTAATTTAAATGTGGCTCCATTAAACACATTAGCTTTTATGTGAAATTTTCTTGCTAATGAATATTTAATGTGGAACACCCTGGAACAAAGTTTGGAAATACTGGTAGTTTAGTGATGGTCAAACCAATTTCCTTGGTATTAGCAGGTAATTACTTAGGCAGAATTATTTATATCAGTATATACAATGTCAGATTTAGAGTTTATAACAGGTGCTCAGTGTTCATGATGCTCTGAATGTTTCTTTTTGAATCAACAGAACTATGACCTAACTCTTCCACTTGAAGAATATACTCAGGATTGAGCTTTGACCTAGTATTATTCCCTAATGTCTCTGATACTTAGGGAAATCTGGGTTGAATTTGTTGCTTTTTTATTATTATACTTGTTTGACTGTTTGCTATCATTAGAGCAAATATGAAAAACGACAGGGTAAAATAACAGCAGTCTGTGACAGTTTCAATTCTTAAGTTGCTCATTCAGATATGGTATCACTTTAATGGTGGCCCTGAAAAACAATAATACTTTAAGCTGTGCTGAATGCTGACTCTCAGCATGCACCTGAAGTACTTCTAGCAAAACTGCATGAATATATGGCATTGTGTAAAAGAGCATTAGTCACAATCAGTCAGTTGGTAATTTCTATCATAGAGCTTTAGCTGTATGGTCCAATTGGTTTTCTATGATTTGGTTCAGAGGCAGCTTTTCCTTTCTTGAGAAAGAACATTTTGTGCATGTTATATTATCTATCTATCTATCTATCTATCTATCTATCTATCTATCTATCTATCCATGTTAGCACATCTAATATGATCTCTTCTTTTTCTTATAACCTCTTTGTTTACTTGGCAAATCTTTGAGTCCCTTAAAGTTAATTTGTTTATAGATATCCAGTACCTGGTTCCAAAAATGTTAGATCAATGAATGAACAAATTAAGCCAGCAAAAAGAAAAGAGGTGTAGTTTAACTATATGTATAAATACTTGTTTTACTTTTAGAAGCACTTAACCGTGTTTTATCTAATTTGATCCCCACAACAATCCTGGGGACTGTTAGTTCAATAGGCAACCACTGCATAGAGACCAGTGGTTTTCAAACAGATCATTTTGACACACAGGGGACATAACAATGTCTGGAATCATTTTAGTTGTTACAGCTAGGGAAGGGGGGTCTACTGGTATTTAGTAGGTACCTCTAGGTCACAAATGCTGCTAAACATGCTAAATGTACAAAATATTTCTCACCACAGAAAAATTATCTGGCCTAATATGTCAATAGTGCCAAAGGTGAGAAATCCTCATCTAACCCTCCCCTCCGATCTTTGGAAACTATTATAACCATATGTTCTGTGAGTTCCTGTTCAAAAATATTTTTATGATTCAGTATATCCTATAAGAAATTACTTAGTGTATCATAAAACACTATGTCTTGCTTTGAGTCATCTTCCTCAAAAACATACAAACTAAACCAAAAACCATGAAAATAGCAAGTTCATGGTTTGACTTCTCATTTCTGACCCAGGGTGAATGCTTGGTTTGCCAACCCTGTTCCTTTAGAAAAGGCACTTGGGTGTAGCTAACAGATGGGTACTTCTATGCATTTCAGGGAAAATGAATTCGTTGTCTGAGTTCAGTTAGAAAATTTACAAGTGCAGCTAGATAGGACTAGGTGGATTAAAATATCAGCTATTTAAAAGAAACCCCAAAGTCAAAATGCTAGCAAGTTAATTCCATATTTTGCATTTGAGAAAAACCGTCCATGAATGTGAGGAAGGAAGCATGAAGTGATTGTACTGCTGTCATGTAGAGAACCATAAAGAGGTTGCTGGAGATCTTTTTTGCTTGTTACACGTGAATATCTTTCTGTTACTTATGGCATACAGTAGTTTCTCAACACAGCAACCTAATTATCCTTGTCCTTCCCCTCTTGATGAGAAGATAAATAAAGAATAGATTAGCCTTTACTGAAAACCTTTTACCAGTAACTATGCCAGCTACTTTACATGCTATCTCATTTAATTCTCATGGATGGCTTTCTGAGCAAGGACAAATGGATAAAGAAAATGTGGTATATACACACAATGGAGTACTGTTTGGCCTTAAGAAAGAAAGAAATCTTGTCATTTGCAACAATATGGATGAACCTGGGAGACATTATGCTAAGTGAAATAGGCCAGGCACAGAAAGACAAATACTGCATGATCTCACTTATATGTAGAATCTAAAAAAGTCAAACTCACAGAAGCAGAGAGTAGAAAAATGGTCACCAGGACTGGGGTGGGGAGGAAATGGAATGTTAGTCAAAGGATACAAGAGTTCAATTAGACAGGAGGAATAAGTTCTTGGGATGTATTATACAGTAGAGTGACTACAGTCGATAATATACTATATATTTGAAAATTGCCTCAAAATTTTTATTTTTTATTTGTTTTCTTAATCGCATGACAGATTAACTGAGATAGATTTTAAGTAATCTAATCACAAAAAGAAATTGAAGTATGTAAAGTGATGGATATGTTAATTAGTTTGATTTGATCATTCCACAATGTATACATGTATCAAAACATCACATCATATACCATAAACATATAAAATTTGTATTTGTTAATTTTTAAAAAAGATAGAGATGGGAGTACTGAGAAGTGAAATGATATTCTCAGAATCAAAGGGTCAAAACTGATAGAGCTAAAATTCATACTTATATATATTTGATTCCCAAAAGCTCCATTTGATCTATGATATTATTTTACCATGCTATCTAAACAGAACTTTGGCTCCTGACTTAGCATCAGAAATAGATGCCCATTTGCTTTCACAAAATTAGCCACATCTCTTAAAGTTTTTCTTTAAAAATATATAATATTTTATATAATATAAATATTATTGTAATATATTAATAACTAATATAATGTCATATAATATTCATATTACAGACACAATAATGAGACCTAACACTGAAAGTCTAAGTACTATATTAAACTTAATGAATCTGGATCTTAGAGGATTTATATAGTTCATGAAATCACCTCCTGTCTTCTTGATATTATAATTCTTTAGCTAGGCTGATGAAGTAAACCAAATTCAACTTCCAGTTTTAAGTTTTAAGTTCCTATAGAAGTAAATACTCTAGTTAGTTCACTATCATGAGAATCCTGTTTTAAAGCAACCAAAATTATTTTAATTGGCATCTGTTACAACACAATTTTTTCTGGGCAAAAGTTTAATCTAGAATCCCTAGATATCAAAATCCAAGTTCTCCTGACTTTTATCTCTTGGGAAGTGCCTGTCCTTGTCCATGTTCACATGTTAGTCCAATACCGAACGGCCACAGTTCTGAATGGCCACAGTCCCAAGCAAGCTCCTTAGCACAGCCGTAAAGAACATAAGGTACATCCAAGCCTGACCCTACTTACCTCCCCAGCCCCGCCTCCTGCCTGGCCCACTCAACTTTATTTCTGGTACACCCTTGTTCTGTTTCATAGTACCTGTCACACCACAGGACATGAGAGGGGGTCAGATGGCCTTGGTTGAACCCACACTTTTGGCATTCACTAGCTATGCAGACTAGTTACTAAATTACTCTCGGTGTCCTTATCTAAAACAGGGTAATAATGGAATCTTCCCCACAGTGTTGCTATGCAGAGGAACTGAGGTAACATAAAGTACTTAGAACTGAATCCAGAATAATATTAACCAGGAATTTTAACTCAAATGTTGCTGTCATTGCAATGAGTTAGTTTTAATTCTATCTCTCCATAGCCTCAGCCCACCTGGTGACTAACTGAGAAACCGTGCCTCACTCTTGGCATCGTGTCTGCCATGGCGCCAATGTGTACTGAATTGAATTGACTGGCCCAGTGTCACGCCCAGCATCAGAGTCAAGTCACCACAGACCCACTTGCTGTATTAATCAGATTTAATTTTATTAGAAGCAAAAGAACTAGAGCAGTAAGGTTGCATTAAACCCATCCTCTAAACATTCATCGTTAAAGCTATAAATATAGAACAGTATCCCATTTTATAAATGTTTATGCTATTGTGTCTTAGTTCTATCATTGATAACATTTTAAACATTAGAAATGTCTTCAAGACAGTTTACTGTAGTCATTACTAAAATTGCCTTTAGCTTTCAAAATTTCTTTGTTCAAACAAACTGATTCTTTTAGGCATATATTGTTACAAATAAAATTCTACATGTCTGTTCAGTTTGTATGTTTACTTAGGTCTCAGGTTTGCAGTAACTCAACTTGAGGCCAATAATACTTATCAGTTATTGAATACTTTTGTGATTTTCCTGTGTAATCTCAACAGGTGCTTTACTTGTATTACACCTCATTGGAAACTTTTAAGAAGTCTTTCCTCCCACTGCAGATGAGGAAACTGAGGCCCAGAGAATGTAAGAATCTAGCAAAGTCACCATAGCAGGTATTGTGTTTTGCTGATGCAGATCCCTTTACCATTTTTGTGCACACAGGCTTCCCCCAAGCTTTCACCCCCAACATCGAGCACCCCTGTCTGTGTGTCAGCTGCCCTCGGGCTGCTGGAACCAGCTTCACCTGTTCTTGGAGAGCTCATAGTGTCCAGGAAGTTACATCCTCCTGGGGTCGGCCCTTACCCACCAACTGCGGATGATGTGGACAGCTCAAACACTGCTTCCAGAAGGGACAGAGTCAGATACCCACCTCCACCCACCCACCCCACCACTGGATAGTACTTGACATTACACCTTTGGTTAGTTTCTTTACCTTCCCTGTCTCGTTTCCCTACTCTCCTATCAGTTTCTCCCAGGAACATTTTCTAATAATTCACTTTCATATGAATCCTCGTCTCAGCATCTGACTTCTGGGGAACTCAACCTATCACACAGTTCGTAAATGGGATTCCAAAGCAGTTCTGACAAAAGTCCAAGATAACTGCTCTGAAGTCCCTGATCTAAACTGCTTCTCCTGACCATAGCAGAGAAGAAGGAAACAGGAATCAGATGTGACTGGTGTGGAGCCTGCCTCTCGCTGGTCTGACTCCTCAAGCATCTGCAGGTTCTCTGAGGACCAGCCTCTCCTCCCAGGGAGGAGGGAGCTCCCCACCACTCCCTTTATCCTCCGGCAGGATCAGCCTCTGTCTGATTGCTGCTGCCCCACGGAAGTGATAGTGGAGGGCAGGATCGGCAAATCAAACTGAGCTCCTATCAACCAACTTCAGAAATCAATCAGTAATTTATTATTTTATTTATTTATTTATTTGAGACAGAGTCTCACTTTGTTGCCCAGGGTGGAGTGAGTGCCATAGCGTCAGCCTAGCTCACAGCAACCTCAAACTCCTGGGCTCAAATGATCCTCCTGCCTCTCAGCCTCCTGAGTAGCTGGGACTACAGGCATGCGCCACCATGCCTGGCTGATTTTTTCTATATATATTAGTTGGCCAATTAATTTCTTTCTATTTTATAGTAGAGACAGGGGTCTCGCTCTTGCTCAGGCTGGTTTTGAACTCCTGACTTTGAGCAATCCGCCCACCTTGGCCTCTCAGAGTGCTAGGATTATAGGTGTGAGCCACCGCGCCCGGCCCAATCAGTAATTTACACAAGACTTACTAAACGTCAGCTGTGGGCTCAGTGGTGCCACAGTCTCATTTCAGCCTGGAATTTCAGTCTCTCCCCTTTCCCCTCCGCTTCAGTGACCTTCCCCAACATCAAAGCCTTCCGACCTTGGGTTAATAGAACCCATTTCCAACCAACATGTTGTAGAAATCAACCCCCAAAATTAACAGGAGATGGTTTCATTATAAATATATCTCATGTTAAAGTGCTTAATATCTTCTATTTTTGTCTTTAATATTCTTCTATTTTTTTCCCTTAAAGTAAGTTTTTAGACCTAAGAATACCAGCTTTTGACAACCATCTACTGGAAATAAGACAAAACAGCCAGGTCATACTGGAAAGTAGTTATGATTTTTTGCCTTTCACACCCATAATGGCTATAGTATACACATCAGTTTGACAAGCAAATACACCCAGAGAATCTACAGAAGTTAATCTACTTCCTTCAATTCCTCAGTAAGAACATTCCCAGAAGCCATTCAGGCTTAATGATAGCTGCATAGGGAGAGAAAGGCTAGTCAACCATGCTCATGAAGTTCAGAGCAAACATTCAGAGCATGGTGCTGACCTGGCTAATGAAGAAAGTTGGGCACCTTGGTATATATCAATTTGTCCATGCAGCCGGGTGGTCTGAGCATGGCACCTCAGGTATTTTGCTGCATTCTACTCCTAGCAAGCTGATCTGGCCAAAATGGGCCCTGACACAGGGCAGGGCTCTTCAGCTGACTACCTTTCCCCTGTCACCTGATTCCTCTGCTTTCTTTATTTTTGACATCTTAAAGCCTTTGTATGATTCCTCTGCTTTTTTAAAACACATCCGTTCCCCAGTAGATACTGTTAAGAAAAGCATGGCTCCTCTTGCTCCAACCAAAAAGCAGCGTAGCAGTGGCAGGTGGAAAAGAAGGAATGATATATTCTAAATGTTAGGAGGTCACAAAATGGTCCTTTCCTAACATCTCATTTTTGGGGAAGCCAAGGTTCCTCAAAATATAATACAGTAAACATCATCAATTAAGTCTTTCTAAGGTGAACCTATTAATTCTTACACATAGCATATGGCTATTAAGAAGTCAATTATTATTTCTCCTCCCATAAATTTGCAAGGTTTTGCTAAAAAATTAAAGGATATACAAAATACCATTTTAAAAAACATTCACAGATTAAGAAATTAAGGATTTTATCAATACTACATTGACTTTTTTTCTTTATTAATGTCCTTTCTTATTTAAATGAGTTAAGTTCTATCTCTTATAACAGAATAATTTCTAGTTGATAGACTGGAAAAAATACTTGCAACAAAGTATTCCTTAATATCTTAGTATATAAAGTGTTAAAGTATTCCTTGGTATAAAAAGTATTCTTTTTTTCTTGTTTTCCCCTTTTTAAATTTTTTCCAGCATATTATGGGGATACAAATGTTAAGGTTACATATACATTGACTTTTAACCTTGAGAGTTTCATATTTCAAGATCAACTCTCATTGGAAAATTAGAATACTCCGATATTTAAGGGATGGGGTTAAGAGAATTGACTCAGCTATTCATAGGATCCCTAATCAAGATTTTGTAATCTAAAGTTCAATGTCCAAAGGGGCAAAGAAAAGTTGGATTTGGGATCTGCAGTTTTCATTATGTCTGTCAATATTTGAGGAGATTTAATCAGGTAGGTAGGGTAGAGATAGAGGTGGTGTCGGGGGATGGTGCAGACTGGTTAGTCCATTCAATGCAGAATATTGGCCAGTGGCTGGGGTGTGGAGTACAGAGTTCAGTCACGGAGAAAAAGGTTGGCAAGACTGAGGATGGGCATCAGGCTCCTAGATATCAGTGTTTAGGGCAGAAGGTCCTAGTGGCATCTGGAGTATATAAGCAGGAAAATGAAATCATTTCATCCCCAGAGAAAACCCACAAATCCTAGCTTCTACAGTTGTGTAGCTATTTCCAGACCCCTCCCACTGTAAGGGAATATTAATTCAACCCCTGTCCTGCTCAGGACTGGAGACAGAGTGCAACAGTGGCAATTGTGGGAGAGGATTGGGGAAGCCCAAGTTCAGGATTTAGATACTGATTCATTTATTCACCCAACAAATACAGGAAGATCCTCCTCAGCATGCTAAAGAATAGGGATGGGATCAGGGATAAGCAAAGCACCCTTTATGGATTTTAATGTCTAGGAAATTTTAAATACATAATACTTGATTATACAGGACATGCAACGGCCATCTTGTCAGTCATTCAAAAACAATTAAATTGCATTTATTTCAAGCTCAATCCAGACTTGTCATACACTCAAAACACAGATGTCATTACAACTTCATTTAAAAGAGGGATACACAACAAATGCCATCCACCACACACACACCCTTCTCTACCTATTCCCTGTGCCCTGCCTCTTGGTGAGAGCTTCTATAAAAACATCCTGAAACATTTCCCCCATGGTTGGGACATGATCGCCATGCTCTAATACCTGCAATCCTGCCGTGAAAATGTAATTCAGACACTTAATTTTGATGCTTAAGGCCAGTTGAGTTGTTATATAAACAGAAACAGAGATTCCTGATAGATGTATCTGATGAAATACTGTAGATTTATCTTGTGAATTAGAGACGAGAGAAAACTGATTTGCAGCTGAAGCTGCAGAAGTGCTCCAAGCCCCAGGATCTCCCGGTCTGTCCAGCAGTCACCAGACAGGGCACTAAGAAATACTGGCTTTGTATGATCAATTATATCACATTTCAAAGTGTGTTTATGTTCTACATCATCCCTGACTTTATGCTGCTAAGTACAGATGAGGAGGAAGTTTGCTTTGGATTTGAAGATGACACTATTGATACCATTTAAAAACCCATGTGAGTATTGCCAGAAAAATGAAAATGAGACCACAATGCCTGCTGATCAGGAAAGATGAGGGTGGTCCTTCGGGTTGTGGCTGCTGGTGACTATGCCTAATGACAAGGTAGGTGCACAGCAGTGTGCACCAGCAGTTGTAAGGAGCTGAGGCTAGGCCTTAACAGGTGTCCTTGTTGACAGCTCTGAAATGCCTAAAATTCATATACTGTTTAAGGTTAAAGTTTAAACTGAACTGGCTTTGGGAAAATAATCCATTGACTTCAATGCACAGTGAGGAAAAAACCACCAATTGCAGGTTCTTCTTGACAGGGTTTTCCTAAGGAAAAGGTTCTGGATGGCAGAGGAACCCTTTGTTATGGAGAATGATCTCAGGCAGAGGCTGGCTGGGCTAGTCCAAGCTCACATGGACTCCTGCACAGTTGAACCTAGCCAGAGGTAGACAATCAGGTGTGTCCATGAACAGGTATTCTTTGCCAGCATCACACACCCAAATACGTTACATCAACCTCATTCCTGTCTACCCTATAACAGGAGCCCTAGTTCAGGCTACTGAAAACCAAAGTGGTATAGAGACATTCTGCAAACCAGGACTGGCTCTTGTTCTGTAAGAGTTGGCATCTAAGGTAGAAGACCAGAAATACAGTTCACCAATGGCATGTGTGAATTTAACATTCAAGGTTTGGACTATTCTTGGGTGGTCCCAGTCCTCCAATTTACTAATTAGCTGAGGTGTAAACCTAATCACTCACAAATGCCAACATCTCTGTAGGGCCAAGTCACTCAGCTACTTTAGAAGCCTAACTACCCTTCCAGATTCTGCTCAGCACATAGCTCTGCTGCTCTCAACTCATCCTGCATATATTTTATTGCATTTCATGAGGTAAGTACATACTCTAGCAATGATAAAATATTTGGGAGTTTTTCAAGGTCTGGGGATATAGTCATAAATGTCTAGAGACTACAACAGGGAGGTAATTGAGAGCACAGCAACCCACCACACAGCAGCAACCCACTACACAGCTGTACTGCAGAGCTGAGCACACGGCCGTGGGACCCAGCCTAGGCACAGGTAAGAGGAGTTTGGGGCAACTGTACAAAAGTCAGGTGGCTTAGACACTGCTGTCACCCAGCCTCAGCATGTCTCCTCCCTCATAGAGCTGTTCTGTGCAAGTACCACTTTGCTGTTAATAGGCTGAGCTGTGTTCCAGGACTGCACTGCATTAAAAGTGAGTCATTGCCGATGTTGGTAACATTAACTAAAAATGTGGAGACTTCGAAAAAAGGGATGGAGCAAGAAGGCACTGACAGCTCCCAAAGCCAAAAAGCCACAGGTTAATTTTACTCCAAGTACTGATGATTCCATCTCCTCAATCTCTCTCTCTCTGAGACCCATCTATTTTTATCACTTCCAACACATATTATCTCTCTCCTGACCTATTACCATCACCTTCCTCATCCCTCTCAAATTCACTTTTTCCTATTACTAGTATTATTTCCAAAGTTAAAACCTAACAGTATTATTACTTACTTTAAAACCCTTTAATAGCATCTAAGAGGATCACAATTAAATTATGATTTTCTTCTCTTCTAGAGACTATGAGTTCCTTAAAGGCAGGAATATAAATTTAAAATTCCTCCTTGAATCCATAATTGGGCTCAATAAAAACTTGGTGAAAGACTGTTCTGTGTCAATTTCTGCAAAGGTCTATGCTCACATCTTCCACTGTCATAATCTAGATTAACCTGGCCTACTGTGACCTGCCGTGACCTGCTGAATCCAATGTCAAAGCCTATTTGTGATACCAGGAGGACGAGGTGACGTATGATTGCTGATGTACATGGACTCAGGCCATGGCACTAGACCAGACCATACAATTTCTTCTTACCTCTGGATGATGGTCAAGACAGCAGCAATCTAAAGCTCTGTGGCTTCTTACCTCACTTCCAGTATGAATGGAAGGCCTTGAATTGTTCATTTTTGAACACACTTAACAAGGTACACCCTTTACTGTTCACCAACTGCAACCATGACTCTAAAACTTGTTTGAAATGTATCTGATATGTCTTGGAAACCTCTCAGGGCTTTGAGGAACTTCCACTATAGTGGAATAGGGCTTATTAAAAATTTAAATGTTCCTTCCACTGTGCCATTATTTCCTATTTGTTAACAATGAGAACAGAAGTGCATTTTCTTTCAAATAAGTCTTGTGTCAGTTTGCATAGGTTTATGAAAAATGTTCAAAGATATCCAGAAAACATTATTTTGGGGATCCTGGTTTCCTTATGACATGACATCTCATTCCCAATAAGTTTCTTACTTTGAGTGATAAAGAATTTGCAGAATTTACCTTTAGAGTGATAAAATACCAGTTATGTTTTTGCCTGCAAGCCTGTGTGTGTATGTGTATATGCACACACACTATATATGCATAAAATATACATATATAATTATACTTAATATACATAAATATTACATATGCCATATATAAATATAACATACACATAAACACAAATAATGTTCTCTCATGTAGCTAGCGCTTTTGCCTGGCCCACAATTTTGAGGACTATTACTTGCTAGATAGGGCATACACTTCCTCTCTCTTTTCTTCCTCTCCTAATACTATCCACTCTTCAAGGCCCAGCAAGTCTTCCTTTTTCCATGAAGCCTTGCCCATCTCTAGGCCTTCTATAATTTGACTCAACTCTACTGACCTAAATTTATTTCCAAAGGGAATAATTACGAAGATAGTTCCCATGTACCACACATTCTGGCCAAATTAATCCTATGCATTCCATAAAGTGCCCAAGAATATTTGTTGAATGTTAAATGCAGGAAATAGAACCATTCATTGCCTAGCCCTGTCTATAGTATAAACTCAGTAACTGAATGAACTATTCTCCAGGGACACCTCATATCTATACCTGTGCATTTCTGTTTATGTTGTTGCTTTATTACATTGGCTGTTCTGGGAATAAACTCTTGTTCTTCTCAGCCCTTTAAAATCTTAACCCAGCATTCTAGTACCGACTGAAATAATGTCAGCCTCCTTCATGAAGCTCTCTTTAATTCATTACAGCCAAGGTTACCCTACCCTCCCATTTTGATAGTTAATATACACTGCCTGATTTGTATTTCTTGGAATATATACCCAATCTCTTAACTCATGACAAATTCCTTAAAGGAAGACTCATTGTATTCCTCATGGCCCTAGCTTCAAGCATCAAAAACAGAAAGCTCTTAAGAAAAATCTGTACATTGACTTTATTGAATTAACTATTCTAGTCCACTTTAATTTATTCTTTTTCAGAGCATCTTGACCATTTGTCTTCATCACACAATTTATACCTTACAGCTGTATAGTCTTTCATTAATCCTTTGCACTCGGATGTCGAGTGTGGATAATGTCGAGTGGATAATGAGAAAAAAGCAAGCGAGTGCAAGGGTTAAATTCTGGAAGTTCTTCATGTCACAGCTAAACCAAACTTCTTTGGGGCAAGAGCTAGTCTACTTCCACCTTAGGTTACTGAGGTCCAAGGGGATGCTCAGGTGTGGACTCATTTAAATAGTAGAGACAAATGACCTAATTTATAATAGGAACTCCTTGGAAGAATACTTATCTTCATCAGATCTTTATGCCCATTTCTCATTAGCAGTATCATTCCAGCAGCAGCAATCTGATGCAACCAGTTGACAGGACAAACATGAAGCCATTTGAAAATGAGGAATTGTTCATCATTCCTGATTTTGGTAAGAAATTCTCCCTGAGGCTATAACCTGCTTTGAGGAGCAGATATAGAGGATTGCGGAGCAGATATAGAGATATCGCTCATATTAAGGATGAGCGATAGAGAGAGAACATCTATTACAACACTTCAGCTAGCATGATGGCACTTTCCAATACTTAGTTCTCATTAAATTTCCCACAGGGCAGTTAGATTTAATAACAAAAAAATCCTCTCAGGGCTAGTATATTTCTAATTGCTCATTTGCCCAAGCAAGAAAAACCCTGCTCAAATGCCAGCTTTCCCCAGGCATACAGATCTGTCATCTTCTACTAGCTCTTGAGTGACTTTTCTCCAAGTGATGCTTCCATGATGACTTACCGAGCACTGTACACATACACATCTTTCACTAATCAAACTGAATTCAAGTAAATTGTTTGTAAAACTACAGTAGCATCTGTTTTTAAAAAATTCTTCACCTGTTATTTTAGTCTGCCTTATACAACTGGAGAGAAATAAAAATAAAATGAATTGGCTGCAATCTAGACCTGGCAGAAAAAGAAATACACAGGCCATAAATGTCATCTGAGATTGACCCATGTCATGTCATGTGCTAACTTTGGCTGAACCCATTAGATAAGTGCCAAGAACTAGCGAATACACAAACACAAACACACACACACACCCCGAGGCAAGCAGGTACACACATGCTTAAACATGCTCACCTATATCTTCTTATGCAAACAACATACCCCATCCTTAATAGGCCATTTTAAGGAAGTAATCTGGAGTATGCACATATTTGGAAAGAGGAATTTTGATTAGCTCAACAAGAAAAAAGTGGAGGAGAAAAAATGTTTTTGCTTTGCTAAATTACTTCCTATGTGTATGTACTGGTAGGATATGTAATTTGTGTTTACTATGAACCATGCATTTTCTTATGTTCTGCTGTCCCCAAAACAAGCATACCAAAAAAATCAAACAAAACTATTAAAAAGCAAAACAAAAAGCAAACACTAAAAACCAACTAATGATGTTTTTTCTCCACTCTCCTTATGAAGTCAAAGGTTTACTAAAATGCTGAAGCAGCTGAAATAGATGCTCTTGCAGATTCTCTAGGTCTAAAATGAAATTTGAGATCTATTCTCTCAGCGGGAGATGCATTTTAATTTTCTTTAAAGATTTTCTATGCCATACTTTTCATTTCACAGAATTTTAAAATTCCTCACATCTTGCCCAATATAGTGAAAGTCACCTTAATGAAGAAAGAAGAGATTAAACTACCATGACTTTGGAACAGCAGAGGATCTCAGCTGTAATTCTTTGGCTCAGAACCAGGGTCTAAAACCAGCCATGGGAAAAGCTGCTGAAATGGAGCCTGCAATTCTCTCCATGTTTGACTTGCATAGTGTTGACATTATAACACCAGAGAGACCCAAACATATTTCAAACAATTATAACTTATTTTCTATAAATATTTTTAAATTGCTTTAAAAAATAAAATAACATATTTTACCCTTCTCATTTTCTAAGTTACTGTGGTCACCCTCAGCAGCTCACTACTACAGATTTATTTTTGGCTAGAAGGTCAGGGAGGACATCTTAAGGTGCTAAGTCGGCTGTTAAACTGTTGTTTTCCAACATGAGTAGTGTGGTGAGAAGGGGAGTCAGCCACTCTTAAAGCAACAACTGAATTCAGTGTCATAACATGAAAGAAATATGTTGTTTCCTCTGTTGAAACCCAGGAAGGAAAAATACCAAGTACTCAAGAAGATCTTTAAAAAGTACTATTCCTTAATAAGCACAGTTTTCTTTCTGGACAGAAAAATTCTTCTTCCCTTTCCATTTCATTGCTCTTCCTTGTTTCAGTGATGTCTGCTATGAAACACAGTTTAAATATATTGAGATTTCTCTACCAGGAGAAGGCTGTAAAAAAGGAGGGAGGATTACAGAGATGGCCAAGGAAGCTCATGATTTCTGGGTACATCATTCAACCATTCCAGGTGTCTCTTCCTTCAAACTAGCAGGAAAAGTAATTAATCATCCAGCCAGTGAGAGGTGAAATTCATTTGAAACCTGCAATTTCCTCCTCAGAGAATATGATTAACAAGCCTAAATTCTGAGCTCTGAAAATAGACTATGATATCCTTAGTCACAGATGAGCTGAGTGAACAGTAGGTTAATAACCCTTCAGTGCAATTTCAACATCTCTCCCAGAGCCTGAGGACCAGAGACCTGGCTTATCTTCAACATAAATGTCCTCAGCATGATTTGTGACATTAATTTTTGACATGAAAACATCAGAGGCCAAAGCGAACTACTGTATTCCTCCTAAAAGATCTACAGAAAAGCCCTCCTAGTTTATGATTTTAAAAGCTAAAGCAAGTTTTGCTTGTCTACTTTTTTGCAGTCACTTAAAACTTGCACCTTTTAATTAAATCATCCAAAGAACTTGGATATAACAAAGTTCAGTGTTGTTGTGCAACACTGGGGGTGGGAATGGGAAAGCAGAACTCACCCTCACTCCCAGAAAAAGCATCATTCGAGCCTGCCAGTGCCAAGGTCAACAGCAGCTGCCAGAGATCCATACCTGAAGGACCTGCAATCACAAAGAGAGTAAGGTAAAGCCAAGCAATTAAAAGCAGACCATTATGAAATACTGTTTAAAGACTGCTTAAACCATGAATGAGCTGACATGTCAATTCTAGAAGGAATCCTAGTCTTTCATTGCTCTAGAGTCATTTATTGTCATACTTTTCATGAACACAAACAGCAGGTTATAATACATTTTACTTTCTGTGAGTGCCCCCCTCAGGAAATCACATGAACACTAGAGATTTTCACATCGTTGCCCACAGCCACAGAACCACCTCACAACCAATGACCCCCACACACTGCTTCAATAACAGGGCCAATGTGGTTCCCTTTAATCTAATCTGGAAATAGAAAAACTTGTCAGCAGTATCACCAAGCATGGGACCTTGAGCTGGACAGACTATAAAAGGAAAAACAGAGCAGTCCACTGTAATAGTGACATTTCTTAAGTCTGTTTTCCAGACTCTTGTGAATAAAAGAGATCAATCAACACTCAAAACACTGTGCTAATGAGTCATCCTAAAGAGTTTATCTAGAAGAGAAGCAGGAAGAAGTTGAGAAGCAAAAGAAAATTGTGTTTAGGTATCCTCCCTGGGACATGTTATGTCCTTGTGGGTTTTTGGTTTTATTAGGAATGTGGGTATTGAAAGACCCAGGAAATGTGAACACCTCAGACACCAAGAGGGACCTGTTTGGAAGCCCAAGTGTGGTCACACTTGGAGTCCTTCAGTCTAAGGAACAAGGGAGTAGATAAACAAGCCTCAGTCAACACACACTGTTATCTAGAGGAAGGAAATAAGCTTTTCTGGATAAAATATACCAGAGTGTCCATGTCCAGGATCTCTAGGGACAAGTCTGGGCTGCTTGAAAATGGATTCAGCACACTGCCTTTTGCAGAGCAGTGGCTGCCTCTGACAACTGCTTTACAGCCCGAAGCTGCTGCAACATTTCTATAAAATTGCGCTATTTACAAGTCACTCAGGCATACCTGATCATTACACCAGCAACTCCACTAGGGCCCATACTGGCCTCACTTTTATTTCTGTGTAAACTTCACCATAATGAAATAGCCCTACTTGGTATCCCTAATAAGGCTGAAATGATGAACAAAAATGTTTGTTTTCATGGGCCTACAGGCATGGTCTTCTGGCAATGGCTGTGTAATTCCTAATAGAGATAAAATGTCTGATGTTCTATACTTTCACTTCTACACAGTGAACAACCTATTTTGTTGTTGTTGTTGTTCCATATAACTTTATGTTTTTAAAAAATTCTTAAGAAAACACATCTCTACATGAACTGAATTTCTTTCTGCATCTGAATACTCATGTGCACACCCACAAACATGAGGAGTCCCCCTCATACGCAGCCTCATAGAGTCCTTGATAGGATCAAGTGTGAAAGTGCAGATGAACACACTTTGTCAACTGCAAGATTTCAAACAAATCGGTGTTGTGTTTATTACGACATCTGTGTTTTTCATTCCTAACCTGGCAGGCCCTGGGCTGGTGGCCTTGCATCATCCTTGTCTACTTTGCAAATGTGAACCACTGAGCACCTCTCCCTGTGTCCTTTACTCCTAGGTGAACAGGCTATGTAATCAGTTGGAAGCCTATGGCAGAAATACATTAAAAGCCTAAAAACAATTATATTCTAGGCTGAAAATGTCACCCTGTTTATAACTGCACATTTTCTTTTGATTTTTTTTTTTTTTAATGGGGAAAGCACTGAGGGACTGGAAGCTATATATACTGTTAATTTTACTAGTCATCCCCCAAGACATTTAGTGTCAGAGAAAGAAGCCTCCATTAGCACCTTCTGTCCTGATATCAGGTTGTGACCGGGAATCCCCAGTTCCCAGGCAGCCTTTTTTGCTTCCCAACTGAGTAAGGAAGGCATGAACAGGTTTGCATTTCTCCGATGCCTGCTTTCTCTGGTTTGGAAGTCACCTCTTCAGACATCTCAAAGAGACCTAGCAGATGCCAGAAACAAGTGACTTTTGCTTCAGATGAATAGTAGATGACCCCCTCTTCAATCTCCAAACTTTTGAAAGCTGCTAGCTGATAAATAAACGTCACTTCTCCCAAATAAAGAACTGCAATTATTATAATTCCTTTACAAGCCAAACATATCTCCATAGAACATGTTTTACCTTTCAAAACAAAACAAACAAACAAACAAACCAGAATACCCAAAGCATAATGAAACAGAAATTTGTTTGTACACTCCTATAGCAGAAAAGGAGGTGTTTAAAGCTGCCATTCTCCCAAATAGGAGATGAACATAGTTCACTGCTGCCTCAAGCACTGCATAGAGACTGGATTCTAACATCTGACTGGGAGCCAGGAGGACAAAGAAATGTGGTTGGCTTCAGTACAAGCTAATTGCTTTATTAGAATCTAACTCTCCCTCTTCCTTCCTCTGATGTTGGCTCAATAGGAACGACTCCATAAGTAGCCACTCTGCACTTCCCTGGAGAACTCTCCAGTGCTATCACATGAGCTAGGCCAACAAACATTCCATTCGACCTGATTGTAAGCTGCCCACATCAGCCTTGCAGAGTGCCATGTGGCAGCTGCTAGTTGAGAGGATCCTCTTTTTTTATTAGGTTCTAGCTGAGATAAAATGCCCCTAAGAGAGGACAGAGTGCTAACACACAAAGTTTGGAACGTTAATGTAATCTATCAATGGCATGTCAGATGCCAGGAAGAGAAAGTCTCTTTTCCCCTTCCCCAAGCCTCCCAGGTACCTAAACTTATCATACACATCCATTAACACAGAATTACAGGAGTTCATTCAAAGTGTTGTCATAAGAGACCCTACTTATAAACTAAGCAGAGGCAGGCATTGTTCAGGGGAATCTACCAAATCTCACCTTGGCCTATTGGGTTTTTATAGCTTGCAATATTTTCCTAGGGAAAAACCCTCTCTAAATTTCTTATGATATTAAAGCATTCTTTGGCTATAGCCTCATGGCAAGATTTTCAGCAGGAGGCAAAAAAAAAAAAAATGGGCTTCTATTCTTGCATAATAAAACTCATACCATTTCCACCCTCAACGCCTGAGGCATTTTGCCTTTTCCCACCCCCTTTTTTAAGAAAGAGCTAGTTGAAAACCAGTGTAATCCGACTGGCAAGAGTTTTAAATCTGTAGACTGCCCAACAGAGGAAGCCTCCAAATTATATAATTAGGACTGTGATATACTGACTTATTCTTTGGCAATAAAATAGTCCATAAACACATGAGAAGAGATGAAGATTAGATATGATATTTTTTCCAACAAGTTAAAACCAACTCCAGGCAAAGAAAGCAGTTGGTTCAGTTATCTTTAATTTAAAATTAGTAAGTATTTGTTGAACTACTAGTTCCTGCTAACACTGTGCAAGGCCCTAGGGGGACTGATGCAAAAGGCATCATTCTCCACTTCAAGACTTAGGCAATACAAGCACACAAAACTGTGAAAAGAAGGGGCATACCTAACAATAGAATGTCAGCTAAGGGGAAAATCAACTACTTAATTGAGGGGCCTAAAATGATAACTAAATGACAGATAAGATTGTGATGGGTAAGGAAAAGTGAGAGGGTTTGTGGTGAACCTGTATGGGTAAAAGCCTAATGTGAATGTTCTGGGTATGGCATGAATTCTGAGTATGCTTAGGGTAATATTCTGATGTCTATTTAGTGAATAGTCAACAAGGTTCCGAATTATGAGTTAAGGGGGACAAAATTAGATTGGCAAGGTAGGACAATAGTAGAACAGCACTTTCAACTAATTAATCAGAAAGTCACAGGAGGTTTTGTGCAAATGTAGATTTTCCTTAGTGCTGCCTTTCATGCCTTAATTTTATTGAGCAATAATAAGATTTGGTGATAACTAGATATAGGAGACATTAAAGAAAGGCATGTCTGTCACAAACAACTGAGTACACATGTGGATGAAAGGTAGTGCTATTGACAGAAATCAGGAGTTTGGGATCTGAGTTGTTTAGGGGGAGGAGAAGAGCACATGACTGTTTTGGATATTGATGTCCAAGGCCATTATAAGACTTCTGGAGAAATCAGAAATGTTAGTGGGAAGATGAAGGTAAAAGATCAAAGACTGAGAAAGAATAGAATCTATTCCTAGATGTGAGAGATAGCTACATAGAAATGAGGAAGTGAATTTAATGTGAAGAGTATTTTGTGATATCTTTATCAAAAATATCACTATCTTTATCAAAAATAATGTTAAAAGTTTATAAAGCCATATGGGGAAAACATGGTCATATTTAGTTTGTAATTTGGCAGAATCAAATGGTTCATCACCTAAAATCACTTACACTCTCTAATTTGTATCAAGTATTTAAAAGGAAATACTTTTGGTCAAAGCATCCTTAGAAGTGTGATGTTAGCATATTAATATGCGAGAGGAGTAAATGCCAGTGTTAATTACTAATGAAATACTGCAAAACTGAGTCTAGTTGATCCCCTGGTAAAGCTTTTCTAAGACTTCAGCACAGAAAAAGGCAGAGGCTAATCCAAATGGGTAGTTGAAATTACCCATTCTAATTAGCACAGCTTGCATTCAGAGTTCAGGTTATTATCTACTTTTTATGGTGGTGATCATTTAAAAATTGGTCAGATCCCAAGTGCCTTAGGTCAATTTATTTCCTTCCCATTAGTGAGGAGGGAAAAGCTCACAGACATTTTTGACATAACTACTTTCGCTGAGATTTCTCTCCTCTCAGGGATCCAGGGGAAAATACAGGATGGGAATTTTAAATGTGTAACGTGTGACAGGGGAAAAAAGATCTTTGGGTGCTGTAGATACAGTTGATCTTCATTTCTAAAAAGCAAGCATATATGGTATGGACCCATGCTGACCAATTTGGTCAGTTACTTGTGGCTATCAAGTACTTGAATGTGGCTAATGGCACTGAGGAATTAAATATTTTAATTATGTACTTAAATATATTTGAAACAGGTTACATATGTAATCCTCTTTTTCATCTTTATAGTTTATGA